AGTGACAAAAGGTGGCATGTTACCGGCTGGTTGAGATGACAGAATCAGCTTTGCCCTTGTGTTGATAGATTATCCATCATTGACAGCGCCCAGAACTGTACAGGAACAAAAATACGTTTCAACTGTAAACAGCAGCTTTTTTACCTGTCTGTGCCGACTGCTCGTCACCGTGTCTTCGAATCCGGAAGGTCACGGAGCCCAAATCACGGCCCGGAGATCGGATTTCTTGGCTGAGACACTTCTGTTTCAAGGTCATGTCAATTATCCTCAGAGTACTATAGCAACCGTCACCAAATTGCATTCTTCTAGGCCACCACACAGAACTGCGCTGCTCTAAGTCGCCAGCATGTACCATTAGCCTTGCTGCTCTGAGAGTTCGGAGCTGTCTTCACTAGCTTGAACTACGCCGTTCGTGTCGTAATTTTCTACGATTGTGATGTGACCTTGAGCATGAAATTTTGGGACTGTCTTAAGCTATGTCACGGCCTTCGAACCCTTGAACACTAGGATCGCCAGTTCGAACCCCAGTCGAGGCATGGATATGTGTCACGTGTTACTGTATCGTGCTGTCCTGTGTAGATAAACACCTAGCGATTAACTCACGCCCAGCCAAAGGAGTCAAATCAGATATCAAGAAATGGTTCTCAGTCCACATTAAATGACCTAACCCCCACGGAAGTTTATAAAAAATACTACTAAATCAGGCCTAATATTGAAAATAGATTCACATTATTACCCAATTAAATTCTTCAACAATATCAATCATTAGAGAAATATTTAAAACAGCATCTGCTTGGGTTATCTTTCAATATCAGCTGTGATGTCTATTGTTTAAATTTGAATCCATCCCTCTTAAGTGTTCATCTTGATTTGACGTGTTTTAACAACTTCGCCTCAATGCTATTGTACCAATCAAAACAACAATAATGTACCACAACAAAAAATTAATTTCCATACGTGTCACGTGTCAACTAGTTGCTAGGCCGCTGCGCAAAAGCAATGCAGGTGCGAACATTACGTATTCGCGAGCAGAAAGCGTGTTCATTATCTAATACGACTTTGCATCGAAATCGTTTCCTGGTCTTAGTGAAGAATTTAACAGAATACCCTGAAAATGAAGTACGTCTACCCAATGACAACAAAAATTTCGGGACACAAGCTTTCAAATAATCTTATAGTTACGGTACTGACATCAGAACGACAAAATCTTTTTCATCATCCATTCATCCCAGTCCAGATGTTTTGACATCATTTTGTTACTCTCTAACTTACCGACAATCCCTCACCAACTGTTTCGACAAACACTCCAGTTGCCATTTTCAAGGTGGTTAACACCCAAAAAAAACTAAAGTTATACGCTGAACTCCAGAATATCAACCTCGTTGTATTATCTGTATATGAGATCGTATCTCTAACAAATTTACGTTCCTCCAGCGCTGAAAAATATATTTTGAGAACACAGCAAACATTTCAATAACAGATAAAACTCAATGGCCATCCGAACATCCCGACTTCAATTCTGGTACGTAAGAATTTTCCGCTCCACGAATTGCTAACAGAATTCAATCAGTCTGTGAGCTCGAGATGAGACTATTAGCACTTCTCTGTGCAGATTGCCAGTAACCACAGTTCTTGAAAGCTCACTACGGCTGACAGACAGGTCATGGAGTGTCAGGCTACATCCATCATGCCTCAATCTGGCTGCCAGTCTTTGGTGATCAATCATGCAACACAGATAGATAAAGGACAAGCGAGAAAAGGCTGTCATGGGGTTAGATTCCACGAAAAAGCAGGGATTTTTCTCATAACCCACCAACATTTACCTCGGAAAGATAAGTAACTGGCTTTTGCTTTGTTTGCTCGTTTATCTGCGTCTCAGAGGAGGAGACCTGATCTGCGCATGCTCTGTCCGAACTGATATATATATATATATATATTGGCTGTGCAAAGCATAAGCAATGTGCACGTGTAACAACTGAACAAAAACAGAACGTTTTTTCGCACTGCCGTCCCGTTGCACAAACCGAGCCGTACCGAGCCGAGCCAAAATCACTGTTGTTTATTCACACGCCACGTAAACCGACAACTTTTCCAGAAAGTCAGATTTCAGGTGCTCACGGCGGTGAGTGTGAAGATGACTATCTTCTGATGATGTAGGCAGCAAGGACCTCTGAAACGTCGGTAAACATCTACCAGACAACCCAGAAGACAGCAATCTTCAAACTTAACCTCAAATCCTGTGTTTGTCGTCATTCATACGGTCAAGAAATGGAATCCTTTCCACGACCCCATAAAAACTAACGATATATCTCCATGGGGGCAGAGTCGTCAAGAAATTCCCCGCCTTTTATGTGAGCTCAATGCTGTTTTCGTAAGAGTCCACCACTGATACCCATCCTGAGTTAGACGAATGCAATCTATACCCCCAGATCTTCATTTCCAAACATCCATTTTAATATTATTCTCCCATCAATTCCTATGTGCACGGAGTTGTCTCTACCCGTCAGGCTTTTCAACCAAAAATTTTGTACGCATTCCTTGTAGACTGCAAAGTATGGAGCTCCTTAATGCTCCTTTAACTTAATTCCGCTTAGGTCCATCTTCGACATCCTACTCTTAAACATCCTTAATCAGTGTTCTTCTCTTAACGCGAGAGACCACGTTTCACACCCATACATAACTAAAATTACAGGTTCTGAACTGCGCGGTAGCAACCATCTCATCTTTGCTTTTAATTTCGTCGTGAATGCAGTTTCGATTCAATACCGTCGTCCCCAGATATTTAAACTTCCGGATCCTGGTGAGTCACCCACAAGGTTTTCCCGATTACAACCAAAACAACAAACCTTTTGTTACGAGATGCTCACAGACTCTATGGATCGTTTAAACAGATCGAAACTATGCCACGAAGAGGAACGTGGATTAAACCACAACCACGTTTCATCAGAAAAATAAATCCAATGACAGTCACCATCACGAACGGATTGCAAGAACCAGACACAGAAATTAATCCGGGTCACGTGGTTAACTACAGTCGCCTTGTTAAGGTCGAAGTTCAAGCAGCTTCAACTGCTGAAGATTCAGCGGTATGTGCCCTCGTCTCGTCTGGTTTCTTATTCTGTAAGAACACAGCTTTCATTTTAGCAGGAACCAGTCAGTAGACCTGACTTTAATAAAAATGTTCATCCCCGGAAATCTACGACGAAATTTTCTCCGACACTTTCAAGCGGAACCAAATTCCTCACGTGGTACTACATTTACGACGTCAGATGCAGTTGTGAGTAATTTTAGGGACAATTGCTGTTACCGTTTAGTGATTGGTGGATGAGTCATGCAATTCCTGCCGGAAAATGGCAGATACGTTGGTGAGAAGACCTGAATACGAAGTAGGAATGTTAATCGGGAAGCTAAGTACAGTTTTATTCATCGTCATGTTATGCAACGTGATCTTTTGGTCCAAATATTCTCCTTATCCAACACCTTCAGGCTATGTTCTGACTTTGAAAGATTAAAAGACCATCAACCCACACAAAAACAACACGAAAAGTTATATTAACCCCTTAATGTTTTAACATAAAACATGTATAAAAAGCGATTATTTCATTAACAAGCAAAAACAACTTAATCTTTGTAATGGTGAAGTGCTGTGTTTTCTTTTCGGTACGTGCAAAATTCTTAAATAAATTAATGTGACCACAGTCTTATCATTTTCCTAAGTTACTAATTGCTGAAGTCGCGGTAGCTCAGGGAGTATAGTGACTGGCTAAGGACTAGACGACCGGGGTTCGATCCCCGACGGGGGTAGACGATTTTTTTTTTTTCCTGTAGCCTCTGCAACCAGACTCTCCCCCAAGCGCCTACATGGCGTATAACGAGAAAACTTTACTTTTCTTTTTTAAGTTACCAACAGAACCCTGACGTCAGATGTGATGAAATATTCTTCTAATATTGAAAGTCAGAACAGAGGAAATTTATACAATGAATATCTACGAAAATTAACTACATTATGGAAATACGGTTTGATTTCTTACAAGTGTGTTGAAATAATAGAAAATTGACACAAAATATGAAGCAGTAACATGTTGTTACCTACATGAAATTCATTTTTAACCTTCAAGTTGGAAAAGCGTCTTTGTTTCTATTTTCAGGAAATGCTTTTAATATTAGAAGCGATACTAGACGTGTAGACACACGGCTGAACACTATTGATCAGGCGTACAAGAACAAGAAACATTTGAAGGGGAAATGCGACATTCACGTGCAGTTTAAATTCAAATTGGCTATGTTCAAAATCCAGTAATACAGCCCAAGTTAAGGTGCTTCTCACATTATTTAATGACCCTGCCGATTTCACCTGAAAGATATTAAATTAAAACAATGAATTATCCATTTGTAGGAGAGTGATATTTTATCCAACATTAACCTTGAAACCACGAATAACACGTCAGCATGACTGCTACTTCCCGAACAAAGTAACTCCTCCATCAAACAATGGTCGCAATTTGGCGGTATTGTCAGCCAATTGTGATCCTTGTTCTAAACAATGGCGTGCCAGGTGTTATCAGCCGCGTCCTATGCAAAGTAACAATCATGAGATTCGTTTGGGGCAATACGTTACATCAGAAATCGAATCCAGGACTCGACTGCAGACTGTTGGCACTGCTGCCAACTGATTAAACGAAAACAGGTGCTAACGAAAAGTCGTTTCACGATAAACAAACGCACATGTTCTTACACTACCGAGTCAGACCTGCGGAAGCTACGTTTATTCTTGCCTTGTGTTTATAATTAAAAGAAAAAATAGTGTAACAGATGGAATGTAGTTTTCGTCACAGGCGTCTTCCACAAAGAACACAGGTTCGTACCAGATCCTTTGGCAAATATGACAGCGGTTCAAACTATTGCATCATAAAAGTATAATGGACAAAAATGGCTTGAAATATATCGTATCTAAAACTATGTCATATACGAACAACAAAGTGTCTCACAAGACGACTTACCGCCAAGCTGTAGACCGCAAATCTCCATGCCCTATCATCACACTGCTCGCATCTTAACGAACGAACCACGAACGCCACTAGTGTCGCTGTCCTGTCACTCGCCTCACTCCCGTTGTACTGCGTAGAAACCGACCACCTCAGCAGTAACAGCCGTGACGTCACGTGGCCCCTGACGTCACGGAATATGCGTACCACAATTCCCATTGAGACGACGAGGGTGACGGGCAAACACGAACATCCAACCAGCAGTGGCTGTTGGATTCAGAGCTTGACGTGCTTTCAGCAAACAGACACACCTCCATATTTTTATGTTGAAACAATGTAGCGAGACGAAAACTGTTGATGACGTCAGCCCTGTGGATATTG